GCGATGACGTCGACGCGTCAACGCTCCCGCATAACAACGAGAGACGCTCACACAAACACACATGCACGCACGCACGCACGCACGCACGCAACTCACGCACTCCCTCTCTCGCACTCTCTTTGTGCTTTCTTGTCTGCTTATTTATGTGTGCGTGAGTGTGTGTGCTTGCGCCTATGTGCGTGTGGATCTTTTCGGGTGAATGACCGCCGAAAATTAAATTTTTTGTCGATTTTAGACTTTTACTATGTTGACGTTGATGATGATTGTGCCGTTGCTTGCCAGCCTTTTGACGAAGCTCGCGCTCACACAAAAACTGAACGAAGAGAGCAGCAGATACAGCTATAATGCGCTGCTTTATAGTTTAGAGCGTGGCGGCGTTCGTACTATCGCGCATACATTTTATGAATGCGCGGGGAGGTGGGTGCCGGCTGGGCAGCAGGCAGCGACCTGCAAGCTCTGTACGCGTATGTGAGTGTGTGTGTGTGTGTGTGTGTGTGCCTAGACTACACAATCAGCAAACGCAGCGCAGCCATTTCACTCAGCAGCAGCAGCAACAACAACAACGAAAACGTTGAACGACAACTTTTTTTTTTCGTGCGCTCTTTTAATTTTTTTCCGCTGCAAGGGCCTGCCTGTGCGCATGCTGGGCAAGGGGCGCGAGCGGGCGGTACGTGCGATCGCCAGCCACTTTCAACAACGAGTCTTTCGCTTTTTTCTGCTCTTTCCTTTTTTTGTTGTTGTTGTTGTTGTTGTTGTTAATTTTTTGGCCGCTTTCTGTTTACGCCGCATTTCTTTCACTTTGTACCGTACTATCTGTTTTCTGTTTCTGTTTCACATTTTATTGTCGTCGCACTCTTCTTTTTTCTGTTTTTGTTGTTGTTGTTTTTGTATTTTTATGAAGTACCGAGTGCCAAATGCCGAGCTACGAGTTGCCTGTTGCCTTTTTGGCAAAACTCAAGACAACTCAAAGTGAAAATTTCAATAAGACAATGTTGCCAACGTTTTCTTGTTGTTGTTGTCGTTGTTGTTGTTGTTGTTGTTGCGTTTGCTGTCGCGGAAGTCATAAAGGCAAATTGCATGCATATTTCGTTGAGTTTTGCGGGCGCAGCTTGGGTCACAATCCCATCCCCCTGCCCTGCCCCTGCCCCTGCCCTAGCTGCCCGCCCCGCCCACTCTCAACTCTTGTGCACACGCAACGTGCGCAGCAGCTAAATACAGTTAAAGTGCCTGCTTTTTGTGTCTTTTAATTGCTCGACTTTATTTCTTGGAAAGGTGCAAGTGGGGGAGCTGGGGTGGGGGAATTTGAAAACAAAGTGAGAACAAGTGACAGCAGAAGAAAAGCTGCATTTGCTTATCCACGAAATAATACGTGGAAATCTTCCGCATGAGCTCTTCAGATGATAAGGGATCTACTAAGGTATATTTTGTATATATGTATATTCTACATGTAATATAGATGCGTTTTTGTCTATGCTTAAGCAAATACAAATACAAATAATGAATGACTAATAAATATTAAACAAATAAGTTAATATGCTATTAAATATCACAAAATATTTGGTAATGCGTGGGATTAACATAAAGATAAAATCTCTGTGTCTGATTGAGAAGGAATTTAGTTAAAAACCAATCAAAAAACCAAGGCCTTGAACCCCTTGGGGCTTAACCATTTTATATGATGCTGTTAGTGATATCTAAATGCATTTAACTAATCTAAAAACATGAATTAACATTGACAGTCAGTCATATTTTAACTAAAGTATATTCATAAACCATTTAAATGGCATTCAGTCGCATTCTTAATAAACTATATATATGAAACATTTTAGTAGATAATCCTTGAGTATTGTATTAATCAGAGAGGCTCCAAACGAAGCCTGTCCTTGTCTGATCTGATCAAAAAGATACTTGGAAAAAGTATCTAACGTATATTCGGTAAGTTTTAGAATTTCTAAAATATTCTCTAAATATGTTGCATGTGATTTCTGAGCTCTATAAGACCCAGTTATATATTATAAGTTTTATGGAACCTGTTTTCCGCACAGTTTATAGTTGGCATACGCTTAAACAAGGGCATCAAAAGTCTAATAATAGGGCTTGGGGTCAGAGCACGCAACATTTTCGGTTTGATTAACACGGGATTGGGGTCAGGGGTTACGGAATTGGGGGCTGCGGGGGTGCTTGGGGTTGAAATGGTCATTTCTTGGCCATTTCCCCAGCCAAAGGTTTCTCACTCTCGCTAAACACGGCGCTTGCGGTCTGGCAATTAAGATTTATGACGGGCGTCCTGGCGTTGATATACCCCAGCCCTTCCTCCACCGCAGCCCCTCTCCAAACAAGCAAAGGAACAAAAATTGTACGCATTAACCAACAAAAACCGAAAAGCCTGACAAATGCTCATTATTCATTTTGGGCCGCTGACCCCGTCGTGAGGTCAAAGAACGCAAACCTCCGCTGATAAGAGACTGGGTGCGTGGCGAGACGGGCGGGGCGAGGTGGGATGGGGTGGGGTCGGGTGGCAGGTCTGCGATTTGTGTGCAATAGTTGCAGCAATTGTTATTAATATATTTTTAATAATATATATGCGCATGCATATATATAAATAAAATTATGTAGATATGGCGAATGCATTGAGCCAAAAATAAACTCAATTTGCCAACGCAATCGAAAGCATCGTGTAAAATACAATAAAAAAAAAAATAAAGAAAAAACCGTCAAAATGAAAAGAAAAATTGCCAACAATTGGGTGTGTGTGTGTGTGCGTGTGTATAGCAATTCATATATTTATATAAATTTTTATGTGCAGCCAAAAAAATAAACAATATTTCTTTTTGTTGGCATTACAATATCGCTTTTTATTGCTGGCGCGCGAATTTTAATTTGCAAGTATTTGTGTGAGAGTATTTGCACCTATTTACAGCTGTATGTGTGTGTGTGTGTGCGTATCTGTGAGTCAGCTATGAGAAAAGGGACTCTCTTTCGATTGGAGGCTTATTGAAGGTGAATAGTCAGCAAACTGATTGCCATGTCGAATTAGTTTAATTGTTAATGCAAACGATACACTGTGCGAAAAAGAGACAGCGACAGAGGTAGAGAGAGAGAGAGGTAGAGAGAGAGAGGGAGAGAGTTTCGTAATGTGTTGCGTCTTTATTCATTTACGAATTTCATGGATTTCCCTACAATAATTCCGCTTGAGAAACTCAAGTCTCAAGTGACTTTCACTGCCAACAGCGGACGCGGCAGCAGCTTAATTTATTTCAACGCTGACCAAACCAAACCAAAACGAATCGAACCGGCGACCAGCGACCAGCTAACCGACTGACTAACTAACACACAAATTATATCATTCAAGTCTTTCGACTGCAATTGGTTTAGGGTCTGTTATTTGGCCTGCAAAATAATTCCCAACTGCTTTTAGCTTCTGAGAAGCCACATAGCAAATTTGCTAGCTCTAGCTCAGTTAGTTGTCGAGTTCAATTAGTTCACCTAATACCCTATAATTATTAAGTGATAATCTATGGCTGACTCGTATAGGTTATTTGGGAGCTTGGCATTTCCATTTGAGTTGTGAAGTTGTGTATGCCTTTACGAGTACAGCATCAAGATTACAGGGTATGTTGGGTTCAATCATAAAGTTTCTACTGGTAATTACTGAAAGTTGAATTATCATTTGAAATGTTAACAATATTTGCTGATGCGTAAAGTTTGTTAACAAATTACATTTACAGACTAAATATTTACCAAGACTTTTCTTCATATTCCTTTTTTTAATATCTTCCAACTTTTCTTAAATATATTTATGCCGTCTATATAGCTTAAAGTATTCCATATTTAAAATTTTGAATAAAAGTAAAGATTTTTCAACATACAGCTATCAGGGTTATTATAAAAGCTTAAGATTTTCTGATCAAAATATTTGCCAAAACCTTCTCATATAAGGGATATTTTATATATATATATACGGATAAAGTTTGTCATTTAAGGGGTATCTGTAGCTCGGAAAGTTGACTTTCCTGGAAAAATAAAATGTTAACCAAATTAAGATAGTTGTCACTTGAGGCCTAGATGCTTGGCCCTCAGTTCCGTTGAACATAAATAATTCCAAATAGTTAACAGTTCCTGAAAATGGCCAAAACGTGCCTAACTGTAAGAATATAGCTGATCATAAATTTATATTTGCCATATACCTTGCACCTTGCTCCATCACAAAGCGAGCGAGTACTCATAGTTGAGGTGTACCCCAAAATTTGCAGCTTGCAATCATGTAAGTGTGCTATAGTAGACTAGCAAATACCCTGCACCTACTTCTACCAAAAGCTGAAGCAGCTCGAGCTACCTAATCAAGCATTTAGCAAAGATTTATACTAGAGCTTTATATTCGTTACGAGAATTTGATGACTCTCGTAAAGCCCAAGAAATTCCAAATTTCGATATCGATTTTTAACGCTTGCTTGGGTATAGCGCAAGTTATCGATTATCGGAAACGAATGTATATATATATATGAAATCTTGAAAATCTCCCTAATATTCTCATTAAATATTTTTGTGCCTTAGGTCTAAAAAGTTGGATTTTTGGATCCTTGAGGCGTCCAAATTCCCAAGCAAATATCTTAAAATCTTTTTAAAAATAATGTAAAAAATATTTTCAAAATTTTCAAAGATTATTTTTAAAATCTATTAAAAATATATGTATATTTCTAAGAAATTTTTTAAATGATTTGAAATTTTGTAAACAAATTTTTAAAATTCTTAAAAAAATACTTTAATTCTTTTACCCTATATATTTGGCTTCTTTTTTTTTTGAAACTTGAGCCCACATATCTCCCTGTACTAAATATATATTATTAGTTCATTTAAGACTTGAGTTCATATATTTCAACAAAAGCTGGGCATATTCCAGGCAATTTTCAGTAAGAGATTCGTTTTGGAAAACCTGCTTAAAATGTCATATACAGCTAGATATTGTAGGGTATGTGGCGCGTGGTTACCTTTGATTGAACCGCTTGAATTGTTTTGTCCCGCCGGCGACTGGACGTTGCTTTGACCGAGGTTGTTGGCGTGTGCTTCCAGTTTCGAAGTGACGCTGCTCCACATGTCAAACATACGTTGCGTATACATAATTAAAAAACGTCTGAGCGCCTGCCACCAAAACTCTGTTTATTGTTTATTGTTTTATGTTGATTGTTTGTCGTTGAATGTTATTTAAATGCAGCACGAGCAACACGCACACACACGCGCCCAACTACTGCATAGCCAGTTGTGTGTGCGTGTGTGTGTTCGTGTGTGTGTGTGTGTGTATTTGTAGCTGTGTGCGTATGTATTAGCTTAATACAATTGTTGCAGCAACTTTTTTCAGAATATTGTTAATTTTGTTTTGTTGTAAAGTAAACGCTTTTGTTTGTGGCTGAGCGGGGCGCATACAAATTGTATTTAATATTTTTGTTGTTTTTTTCTTTTTATTGCACTTTAAGAATTTTTAAATATTTGTTTTTTTTAGTTTTTGTTTTATATGTGAAATTACTAATATCACAGTGGAGGGGGGCAGGGGGGCGTGTTTTATTTAACGCTGCTTTTGCTCTGCTTTTGCCAATCTTTAATGTTTATTTATATATATATATATATGTGTGTGTATATATGTATATATCTATTAGCTATATATGTGTATATATATATATATATGTATATATATTGGTTTGTGTGTATATATAATGTTCTAACGTTGTCTTCAGGCCTGTAGGTACTATAACTTGTGTGTTGAAATCTGATTAATGCTTAAGATCCGCTGCTGCTGCTTTTTGTTTATTTTTTTTTTTAATAATTATTATTATTATTATTATTATTGTTATTTTGTTATGCTATTTAACTATTTAATAAGACACTTGTTCGCGTATATTTTAGATAGAAATTGTTTGGTTTTTTTTTTTTATTTTAAACCTTAAGCTTTAAAGCAATTTTTTTGTTGAATAAGTTTTTGTTTTTTTTTTTGGGGGCTTTTTTTCTTAGCCCTTTTGCAGCACATGCAAATTTTGGTGGCTGTGCAATTTAAAGCTTTTGTTGTTGTTGTTGCCCTTTGAAGTTTTTGGCAGTTGTTGTTGTTGTTGCTGCTGCTGTTGTTGTTGATTTTTAAGCACTTTCACTGCGACTTTGTTGTTGTTGTTGCTGCTGCGTTTGCTGTGATTTTTATGATGTTGTTTGTTGTTGCTGTTGTTGTTGTTGTTGTTGCTGCTGCTGCTGCTGCTGCTGGTGTTGTTGTTATGCTCATTGTTTTGTCGATTTCTCTGTTTTGTTTGATTCCAAATCAAAATTTCCAAAAATACGAAAATTTCACGACAGTTAATTCCGGAAGACATTTAGGCGCATTCTTTAAAACAGCATTTCAAATGAATTTCGTTTATTTCGACTAATATTTTTTTTATATATATATCTTAATTATATATTTTAAAGGTTTTTCTTTTTCTTCTTCTGTTGTTGTTGTTGCTGTTGTTGTTTATTTAAACACTTTGATGTATAAAATGGTTTGGCCCGTTATATAAATGCTTTTGCTGCGCGTTGTTAGCCATGGCCAATGCATGGCATTCAGCATATTGTTAATTTCGTGGGCGTGGCAAGCTGCCTGCGAATATTTGATATGTTGTTGAAAAATTAATATATATGAAACTCAGGAGCACACTTGCTGCCAGTGCGTGTGTGTGTGTGTGTGTGTGTGCGTGTGCGTGAATGATTTTACCAATAATTGAATTTGCCTTTAAACATCAAACAAGCGACACAGGACATGAAAACTGGGCCGCAACTCCGTTGCCCAAAAAAAAAACAACAACAACTCTAACGAGGCAAATGCATGAGAATGTAACATGAACATGAAAAATCGATATAGAAATGAGATTTAAGGGTGCCAGACAGCTCGAACAGTAGGGGAGTGCGGGGGGAGGGGTGTGGGGTTGGGGGAACGCCGACTAGTCATAATATAGCTGCGCTGTGGGTGGGGTCTAGCTGGGGCGAGGGTGGCAACTCTGTCAGACAGGCGCGCCGCTGCCTGCAGAAACGAACATGAAATGCAGTTTACGAAGCGGCAGCAACAACAACAGCGACGCATAAATCACACAACGAAAGCTCTGCACGTGTGTGAGAGAGAGAGAGAGAGAGAGAGAGAGAGAGTGGCAGCGCAAGCCATGTGCGTGTGTGTGTGTGTGTGCACGCTTGTAAACAGTGAAAAAAGTTCTATGACCCAAAGCTTGCCGGCAAAACGAGCAAACGCAAATGAATATAAAACACATTTTTACATTTTTTTTTTGTATTTTATTTTAGTGAGGGTGAGCTGCTTAGTTGGGCGGGGTGCAGCTGGGGGGTTGGAGCCCTGTGGGGTTAGTTAATAGGAACTTCAAATGCGGAAGCCCAGGCAGAGGCAAGCGAAACGCACACATGCAAATACGTCACCAGTAAAATCGTTCTGGTTGTTGTCGTTGTTGTTGTTGTTGTTGTTGTTTTAGTTGTTGCCCCCGTCACCAAAGCGACAACAACAGAAATTGTGCCAGCAGCGACAACAACAACTGTAACTAAAGCAGCGCCAGCATTGTTTTTTTCTTTCTTTTACCATTTACTATTGTTGTAATGGAGAAATTTACATATAGAAACGTAGCGAGCAGAACGCCAGCGTCGCAGTGGGCAGCGCTGAGCGCAGCGGCGTAGCGTCAAATAAACTGAAAAGAAAATGAAAATGAATAGCAACAACAACAGCAACAATGGGGCAGCTGAAGAAGAAGCAGCAGCAGCAGAAGCAGAGCAAAGGCATGAATTTCAAAAATTCTCTCACAACGAGCGCACACGAACACAACGACAACCAACTTACTAACGGTACTAAGCCGGTCAAGCCCGAAAAAGGGAGGCAGCAACAACAACGACAACAAGAACAACAACAAGAGCAAAGGCTGACGACAAAGTTACATGCTGACTGCCAGCGTCGCTGCTTGCGTCGCTGCCCCGCTGTCGCAGTACGTTGACGCCGAAAAAGACCAATGACCTATGCTAGAGCTCTGCACACAGACACACACACACACACGCACACATACAGAAGCACACAGAGACTCAGGCATAGGCGCTGTCGCTGTCGCTGCTAGGCTTTTATTTTATATACTTTTTTTGTACCCCCTTTTAGCTTGGGTCTGGGGTGGCTCTGGCACACTTATAGACGACACATAGAGTGTGTGCTTAGCAATGTTGTTCTACTAACGGTAATGCAAACAGTTGGCGCTGGGCAAAAGGTGGCGTCTGTGCGAGTGAGCGAGAGAGAGGGAGAGAGAGGCAGAGAGGAAGCAAGAGAGAGAGGGGGCATGATAGTGGGCGTAGGCAGCGTCGGAGACTGAGAGACAGCTCTGCTCTAGGTGCTCTGAACTCAACTGAACTGAACTGAACTGAAGCTAGCGACCAACTGGGTGACTTACTGTGCAGTTGAGTTACTGTAACTGTTTACTGCCGCTGCCTCTGCCGCTGCCGCTGACGCTGACGCTGTCTACTGACAGTTTTCTTAGCGTTTGCTTGGCTAAGAAACTGTCTGCTTTTATAAATAGAAGCCCAAAAACAACAGCTACAACAACTAAAACAACAACAACAATAACTGATAATCATAACTGTTCACAATGGGCAACAATTTGCATTGTTTTTTTTTTTTATTTTCGTCTGTTTCTGTGCAGGGTTGCCGGGGGGGGGGGGGGGGGGGGGGGGGGGTGACAAAACAATATGGCTACATTATGAAAGATTATTACTGTGAACTTTTAACTGTCAGTTGGGGCTGATGTTAAAGATGAAGAAGAAGCAGGCAAAGATTTGCCAACAGTTGTATGTAAGCTTGGTAACTCTACAAAACTAACCTAACTCGAAAAGTTTAAACACAATCTAATAATATTTAAGGAAAGTTGAAGTTTCTTAAATGTTATATGATTATTGTAAATTCTCGGGGTTTAGTCCTTCTTGGAATATCGGAAATATGGAATATGGGTAAATATTTTAATTTCTTTTCTGGAGAAGTGTAAAACTGTTAAGATCGTGCCTGATTTTAAAAACGGTAAGATTCGTTTCCAAAACTTAATTCTTGCAATTTTCTCAACTACAAACTATATTTACATGGAGAACTTCTAGGAAAAAGATAAGTTTAGAGTTTAAGCTAAGCAATTAATGGTTTTTGAATACATATTAGTCAGTTTAGTTCAACCTATTCACATTTTTATTTACTTAGCATGTGCAAATCATTCTTCCTGAAATTCGATCTTTTCGCAGAACAGTTCTAATTAGCGAGTGATAACTGTATTTAGTTTGTCAACTTTCCAACACTGTCCAAGTTTATATGCGTAGCAGTGGGAATACTTGCTGCTACAGCAATGGGCTTCAATCTTTACGGGGCAATTAAAAGATACGGGCTCTATGCGTATTATTATTTGAATGCAAGAATTTTACATGAAGAAGAAGAACACGAACTGGGTGAACCCTAAGAAAAGACGGCTCCGAGCGAAAAGTTGATCTATAGTCTCTTAATTATTTATTAATATTGGATTACATTTTTGAAATTATATTGAAATGAAGATTTATTGTGTAGAAGTTTTCTACTGTGTTCTCTCGGAAATGGGGAATACGCAGGGAAGAGATTCGAATGAGATGCTTCCTATCCTTAAATCGGAAAATAAAATAGCAGAAGTCCTCTACTTTAGGACATAGAGAATACGAATACGAAGAAAAGAGATTAAAACAAGGTAGACGCAATATCTGATAACCAAGAATCGAATAGCAGAAGTTTTCTACTGTATTCTTTCGGATATGGGGAATACGAAGGGAGATCAAAATGAGATAGTTCCAATCCTTGATTCCCGAGAATCGAGTAGCTAAGTTCGATAGTTTATGCCTAAAATGTATAATAAACAAATACTAAAGGGAAAACTTGCAAGTTCAAATCCCTTCATTTATTATTATTATTATTCCAAAATACAAACAACTATTTGCAATTGCCTGGAAATGCTATTTTTCTATAGAGAAAAACTATACAATATTAAAATATTGATACGATATTGAGTTCTAAGGAAACTTTCGAAATATATACGTTTTCGTAAATAAGACTTTTATATTCAATGTGAATGAATGAATGTGAATGAATGTGAAATGATTGGTTAACTTCGATTTGAATTTCTGCAAAATTCAAAAGTCCAATGGAAAAGTTTCAGCTTAAAGGACAAATTCAATTCGTTGCAAAAATCCTGGCAATAACTCTTTTATAAATCGACAACTCTAAGAAAATCTTCGATATTTCAAAAAAATAAGTGTTGTAAAACTCGAAACATCAAAAGAAAAATATATTCAATAATAAGGCATTTGTTTTAAATAGCTTTTAAATTGTTCGTAATCCAAAGGAGGTTTTTCTGCGCAAATAATATCCAATAACTTATCCAATTTGTGCGGTGGATTTCTCATATTCATTTTAAAATCCAATAAATATGTCTTTATTCAGAAATGATCCTTTATGGCCTTATGCACACACACACAGGCACTCACACACACACACACACTGCACACACGCACAGTAATTTATTGCATTACACAATCTATATTTTTGGAGGGTGTGTGTGTGCGTGTGTGTGTGTGTGTGTGTGGAGAAGTGTAGAGGGGTTTGCATTCTCAGCTGCTGCTCCAAAAGTTTCATATTTTTTTTCTGTTATTTTTTTGGAGTCTGTACCAATAAATTACGTCACTTGCACTTCCGTTTTTGTTGTTGTTGTTGTTGCTGTTGTTGTTGTTGTTGTTGTTGTAGTCGCATCACGAGACGGCGCAACGACGTTGCAGTAGCGATTGCAGTTGCATTTGTTGCAGTTAGGCACGATTTGGAATTTGAATGCACTTTTTAGATATTTCTACTGCCGCTTCTTGTATATATGTATACATATATATATATGTATATATATATATTTGTTGACTTTTCGTTTTGTTTTGGCTGCAGCTGAAACCGAACCGAACAACTTCACCGATGCCTGCAACAAATTAGCCAGGCATGTTGCAATATTTGAATTTGTTGCTGCCGCTGTGGCTGTGGCTGTTGCATTTGTAATTTTCTATTGCTGCACACGCACCGCACCGCACACACAAATCGAGAGACGAACGCACTGGCGGCACACACACACGCACACGCACACGCACACGCACGCACACAGGAGAGCGAGAGACGCGCGTAATAGTTGAAAAGACACACACACGCACACATACACGAAGAAAATCATATACAATAAGTATAAACAACAACAACAAATAATTAATAATAAAGATACAACGCGCAACGCATCGTAACCGCCGCCGCGATACGCTCAATACGAAGTGT